ATATCAGTTAATGAACTTACGGTATTTAACTGTAAATTTAAGTTATAACCATAAAACCTAAATATCTGGCAACCACAGCTGCTGGTTTTTTACCGTAAATTTTACGGAATTTTTTTTACATTGTACTCTTCTTACCGTAAATCTTGATGGATCTTATTTCTTCAGCAGTGGATAGAAGAGAAAACTGTCCACCTCTTACAACTTTTATAAATGGGTGATTCTTATATTTCAAAAAAATTAAATGTCTTAAAGATTCCATGTGCTGAAATCAGCCTCCAAGTGAGGTTTTTGAGAGTGTGTCAGTAATGATGTGTGATTGTAATGACATTTTTCACTTTTTGAAGGAAAAGGTGAATAAACCATTTAGCTAGCAGTCAGTAATTAAAGCAACAGAAAGTTAATACTGAATTATAATTTTAATAATCACAGAGGACAAAGTCACCAATGTTAAATATTTTATTATATTTTACTTTACGTTACGTTACTTTAATTTACTCTAATTTTTAATTGTATTTTATTTTAGGGTTCATTTTTATTTTATTTCCACTATTTTATAAGATTAAATACAAATTTAAAGGTATATACAAAATATTGCATATTTCCACGTATATAATATTACATTATTAGTTGTTCTTCTAAATATAAAAATGTAATGTTTTGGAATGTAATGTTTACTGTTTTTTTTTATCCTTAGATGTCCATGCACTTCTTCTTTCGGATGTCTTTGTGTTCCTCCAAGAAAAAGACCAGAAATATGTTTTCGCGTCTCTGGTGAGTGATTGGATTTCAGTGCTATCTTTTTTTGAGATATCAGTTTAAAGTTACGTTTTTTTTTATGTGTCATACTGACGATGTATTTAAAACTGTATTAGTATATATTGAAATGGTTGAAATTTACCTGACCTAAGATTAATAAATGTTGTGGAAGTACTGTTCATTCTTAGTTAACTAATGTTATCAAATGCTACCGTATTATAAAGTGCTAAGATTTTTTTAAATAATGCCCTTCTATTATGATTCTTCATGGCATTCTTCGTTCATGATGTTTTTACAAACATGTTTCTCACTCTATGATACAGTCAGAACAAAAGTATCATCCACTGTTATTTTTGATTATTAACTTCCTAAATGTACCTAAGCTTTGCATTTGGCAGTGAATACATATATAATCTGACTTCATTTCTGAAGAAATAGTGTAATGGAAAATTGATCATGGGAATATAACAAAAGCTGGCCTCCTCATCAAGGCACACGATTAGATTAAATTAGATATCCATAACACAAATGCTACATTAAGTTAAATACTTGGGTTTAGAGATTTTTTTCAGGTTAGCAAACACAACGGATGACTGAATACACTGACGCATTTTACACTACAGTGTTGATGTTCAGTTCAGTCAGCTGATTTTTTTGATCTCCTCATCTGTTTCCTCTCTTCCTTTCTCTGCATATTCTTTGGCCTTCACTCCGCCCTCCTCATTCTGTGCATCACGCTTCCTCTTCTCATCAACAGGACCAGCGAGCCACTGTTATCTCCCTGCAGAAGCTGATCGTACGAGAGGTGGCCCACGAGGAGCGCGGCCTCTTCCTCATCACCGCCGGCATCGCAAACCCCGAAATGGTGGAGATTCACGCCAGTTCCCGAGAGGAACGTAACACCTGGATGCAGCTCATTCAGGACGCCATGCACTCGATGTGAGTACCAGATATTCACTATCTATAATGTAAGCTTAAAAACAAGATTGAGAAGCAAAATTGCATGAAATAGTCAGAGACTTTTTTTTTTGCTCTAATGCAATTTTTTTTTCTTGTGCGAAGCATAAATCTAACAAATCATTAGCAAACTTTGTTCTCATTTAAAGCATGAACCTCGTTAAATTAAGATATATTCTGTGAAACAGTTGTCTTAATAGTCTTATTAGGTCATTTTTTTTCTCATTCAGTCATCTTGATCATCGTGATTTATGGATATTTAGATATTTT